TTATTTGTAGACATTAATAGTTTTGGCAAATTTAAAAAGCATTCAAGTGCTTAATTTGAATCTTTGATTTAGATCATGAGCTTTGGTCACTGGTTTAATTTTGTGTAATTACGTACTAGCGTGATGACAACATTCAACCACAGGTTTATAAATCATGATTTTAAATCAGACATATGATAATCTGTGTGAAAAGTTATTTCTACTTTTTACGGAGTTGTATAACATGGAATCTATAGAACAAGAAAATGTATCTGGCTTAAATTCTTTAAGTGATATTGAACCTGGATCAAAAGAAAACTCTGATAATGAATTCTTTATCAATCAATCGAAAAAACGTAGCAATCTATCATCTAAAAGTACAGTAAAAAAAAAAAAAAAACAAATCCGATTAATGAAAGTACAACACTGTCAGAGACGTTAAGTGATGAAAATGATGAATACAATAATAATCATGCAACTAATAGCACGCCATCTGGAGATAGTAACGAATATGATAAAGGTTATGTAGATAATATCGAATACGATAATGATTATGTAGATAATCACGAATATGATAACGATCATATAACCCAAGTAACTGGTGATATGCCATCTGAAAATAATTCTGGCACAAGTAAATCATCCAAATCCAACCTTAAAGATCTTCAACTCATACCCATTAATAAGGTACCTGGCAAAAGTTGGATATGGGGTTATTATCAGTTGTATAAACCTGTGCAACTATATAAGCGGATAGTTAGTTGCTTGGTTGAAATTAATGAAGCAAATGGACCTCAGCTGTGTGGCCATTTAATGGGATCAGTGAACAGTTCCACAGATAATTTTATTAGACATTTGATGTCATGACATGCAATTACTGAAGAATCGCACAAACGAAAACTTCAGCAAAATTCTAAACAACAAAACATTGATCAAGTGTTTCAGAAAATTGTAGCAAATGATCCTAAGCGAAAAACGGTTCGAGATCAAAAGTTTATTAGTATGTTAATTAAGGATCAATTGCCTATTAATATATGGGAAGGAACTGGTTTTATTGAGTTTTTAGCAGAGTTTGATCCTAATTATCGATTGCCTTGTGAAAGACATTGCTGAAAGTTATTCACAGATGCTTTTTTAAGTTCTAAGGAAAGTCTTAAAAAAATGCTTAATGATAATGTAATATCTTGTTCTTTGACTTGTGATCTGTGGACTGCATGGGGTACCTCGAAGTAACGTGCTCATTTATCGATAATAATTTTCACTTGAAAGAATTGATTCTTACAATCAGATATCTACGCTATCCACATACTGGGAAGTTAATTGCAGAAGAATTAAAGGCTATAATTGATAAGTGGGAACTAACGAGTAAAGTTTTTACTATCACAACTGATAGCGGAAGTAATATGGTTAAGGCTATCAAGTGCATGCAGAACATTATTCAAATTCCATGCACAGCGCATACCCTACAGCTTGCAATCAGGAAGAGGTTGTTTGATGCTGAACTCCTCATAGTATATGCAAAAAGGCTAATGCTTTTTTTTACTACATCTAAGCAAACAGAAAGGTTAATCAATGCCCAAAAAAACCTGCGCCAACTTGAAAATGTAGTAAGTTGAAAATTTAAGTTGGGGTAAAAGTAGTACATTTACTATTAGAGTAAAGCATTGAATTATTTGTGTATTTTTCTTTACATATGTATAAATCGATGGATATTGTTCTAACACCGTTTTACTGGCAGTTGAAGTTGGTACAATTTGTAGTTAAGATTAGCCTGAATAAAAGTTAGTGTTAGAATTAAAAATTGGTAAAATAACTGTCAGTAAAATAGGTAAATCCCATATAAATATAATATCGAATTAGTAATATTTAATAAAAAAGTTGTCTGCAAATTTTTACCAGATGAATTTTTTAATGTTTTATTAAAAAGTTTTAATGAAGCACTAAATACTAAAACTGGAATATTTTATCTTAATTATTTCAGAGCCTAGAAGATAATGACCATCAATTAAGAGTTATCGCCGATATTCCTACATGGTGGAACTCGTCATACTTTGCATGGAAACGACTTATACAAATTCGAAGTATTAATAGTATGATGATAACCAATTTAACGTTAGATAATGATTCACAAGCCCGGAAGGATAGTTTGTGTTTAGAAGCAATTAATTTGACAAACAATGAATGGAATATGATATTATTATTGACTACAGTACTGAGACCCTTTGCTGAAGCGACCGAATTGCTAGGAGGTAGCAAATATGCTACTATCAGTTTTATGTATAGTGCTATTATGGTGATAAAGCAAGGGCTTTCATTTACTCTAACTTCGGATATAGACTTTAATTCTGATGATGATGTTTTCAAAGACGATGTTGTTTATGAAGATGATAAAATGCAAGAAAATGATGTATCGAATGCAAAACGTAGAATTAAAATCAATAATCCACAAGATTGTAAAAATTTTGAAGAAAAAATTAAATCAGCATTATATGGTGCTATGATGCATTATTGGGATGTGCCCAGTAATGAAGCTATGCTTGCAACACTTTTGGATCCTCGGTGCAAGCCGCTTTCTTTTATGTCAGAATCTTTAAAAAGAAGAACTTTCGAATTGCTTAAAGATAAATATGAAGAATCACAGGTTTTATATAGAATAGAAGATAATAATATACAAAATAATACTAATTCTCTATTAGCCTCAATGTTTCGAAATAGAAGTTCACAGTCAGAAGTTTCAGATTATCTTGGAGTTCAGCAAATTCCGTGTGATCAGTGTCTGTTAGCCTGGTAGCATACTAACCAAAAACAGTTTCTGGTATTGAGTAAGTTGGCCCGAAAGTATTTAGCTATTTCAGCAACTTCGACTGCAAGTGAAAGACTTTTTAGTGATGCTAGAAATACAATGACGGTCAAGAGAACGTCACTTTTACCTACTACTTTCGAGCATCTGGTATTTTTAAAAAATAATTGGCAGCTCACCAGAAATGTATTTCCAGATATAAATGATAAATCCAAATAAGAATTTTATATCTCAATAAAATCAAATTGGTATTAGATTCAAACAATGAATTGTTTGACAAAATTTTATATTATCTGATCTAGTCTTATTCCTTACATCATTATACAGGCAAATTGCTTGTGAAGTTTTGAAAAAGAGGGTGTGGCGACTTAGAGTAGTGGTTAAGTTGTCACCCCCCCAAGCGGCAGGTCTAGAGTTCGAATCCCACTGGAGACGTTTTTAGAAAAATAGGCCTGTGTTCCGGTAACAA